AGGACACGCCACCAGGGCCCCCCCCGCTACCCGAAGAAATTCCGCATCAAGCTCCAGCGCCTGTCTGGCACCCTGGCCTGGTCTCGCCACCGCCTCGAGGGCCGCGGCAGCGGTGGGGGGCGCCCTCCACGGATGCGCTGCATCGCCCACCGCGCACAGGCACAGGAGACACGCGAACTGAGGCGCGATGCCCACCCGACGACCTCTCTCCCCCGAGCGACGACTTCGCCTGGACAGGACCAGGCAGCCAGCAACGCGCCTTCCTCGCCACAAGCTACATTAAAACAAACTCGCGCGGCCAGTCCGAACGGCCATCAGGCTGAACAATACTAGCCATTGCTGTGACTCATCCACGGGCAGCATGAGGACAAGACGAGAGGGCCACAGGTGCATGCGAGATCCAGCCTGGCCAGACGGCCGCAGGGAGGGCTTACCCCTCAAGGACAACAAACAAAAAAACTCCTTCTCCCGAGATGCGAGGACACACCGCCAGAGGGTTTTCGCCCCCCCCCATCCTTGGCCCGAAGATTCAGCAACAAGCCTCGGCGCCTGTCTGGAACCCCGGCCTGGCGCGACGGACGCGGGGGCCTACTTCGCGCGGGGGTGCGCACAGAGACCCGCGCTAAAAGCGCGGCGAACACATCGACCGTCAGCGAAGCGAGCCTGGGCCGCGGACCTGAAAGTCAGGCTCGTACTGCTGACGCAGAGGAAACCAGTTTCCGCGCACGTCGATAATTGCGTTCTACCAACCACTGCCGCGCTGTACCACTCTTCGAACTTGGGATTCTCTGGAATCCAAGGACGTCGATTTCGGGCGTCTTCACCCATGACTGAATCAATAGTGGCGTCGTCGAGGTAAGCATCAGAGAACAACTTGACACATTCATCGCAATGTTCGTGCTTTGCCGCCTTCCTGTCACCCCACTCGCGGGCATAAAAGCCCCGACATGTTTTCTCGATCGCCGCGCTGTCTCTGGGCCCACCCGCCAAGGCCGACTACGAGGGCGCCCTGCCTCCGGCATTGATAACGCATTTCTGCAGCTGGCGCCGTGCAGAAGCCAGTTCGCACCTGCCTTCTTCTCTATACAATCCAAAAACACATAGCAGCGTTCCACTGGCACGTCGATGTACGATGGAGTATCCACGTCGTACCAGTCAGTAATCCAGCCTGTCTAGCCTCGTCGCGCTTTCCACGCACAGCTCCGCGCCCGCGCGACATTCGCGAGAGCCGAACCACGCCGACATGCGATTTCAAGGGCACTCATCGCTCAGTTCTGGGCACTACGCCTCCGTCAAATTTCCAACCACCCAGAACTGCGAGGCAGGAGTTTCAGCCGTTTCCTAGCACCACTCGACGGCCCGTTTCTCTCTGTCAAGCCCGGGCACACATCGCTGAGAAGTCTCGGGGGGGGGGGGGGGGGGGGGGGGGCGGGTTCCCCGCCGCAGAATTGAGCGCCAGGCGCAACGCGCTGCCCCCGCGGAGATTCGCGAACTCGATCCTCTGAGAGGGTTCCTTCAACATCACGCTAAAACTTTGTCCGGCGTCTGTCCCGGGCCCCGCATTCCAACTCTGTTTCAAGACGTCCTGCGAAACTTCGCCCCAACAACCCACGCGGCGCCAAGTCGGGGGAACCCGAACCGCCGCGGGGGGGCAGCAACTCCGCAGCTTTGAAAACGGGGAGTACGACTCAAGCTTATAAGGGGGCACATCACGCGCACTGAGGAAGTCACCATTCTCGGTGCCCCCCCAAGAGACAACCCATGTATTTCCACAGGGGAAGTCTGCAACTTCGAGCAAGATGGTGATCTTGGGTTTGCAGACTGGCCTAAACAGAGCGGCCTAAACAGAGGCCCGCGTCACAAGACATTATTTCGCCAGGAAGACAGCGACGCACTCCTAGCACGCGAAGTCGCGGCTCTTCCGCGGTCGCCGCCCCACTGGCTGGCAACCTAGCCCAAGGAGACCGCGAAGAAGTAGAAGAAGAAAGCGACGCAGTCATAAAGACGAAGCCCATGGCCAAAAAATCATTGCACCGACCTTGCACACGGGCTGCAAACGGATTGTTGCGCGGATTGCTGTCAGCGCTAAACCCCAAACGGCGAACAAACAAGGGCGTGAATTCCATGTGGATTCTTTGCAATCTTCATTCCTGCCTAGAAAACCCGCGCAAAATTCACGTCGAAAAACCAAAGCAAAATGATCCTGGACAGCCCTGGACCATCTCATTGTTTTCCAAACGAAATCCGCTCTGCGACGTTGGCCCCATGCCAAAAATTCGAGGGCGGACAGAGACGACAGTCCAATGCAAAGCCAGGCGACACCAAGAGTAGAAGTCCGAGGAAGAAACCGTCGAGGTCTAGATGCCCAGAACCAACCTCAAGGCAACGAATTCCCCCGCCGCGCACATGCCGCCGCTCGGCCCCCGCGCCCTGTTCCGCGGGAAACCCCCCGGCCAGGAACGCCTGCCCCCAATAATGATTCCCACGCTGACACCATGGCCCCGCGGGCGGCGCCTCTTCAGGAGCGGGCGCGGGAATGCCTGGCGCAGGCTGGCCGGGCCTCGATCCCGAGTCGGACACCGAGCGCCGCCCTGCTGAGACCTGCCGCGAGTCGCGCGAGCTCGCGCCCCACGGTTAGTCGGCCCTGTAGTCTCCCGTTTAAGCAACATCAGAACTACATCTTCTGAAACGCTCTGACGTTCACGACTAGATAATCTACCGCCCGCGTCGCGAGGCCCCGAAGGGCGGGGGGGGGCACGCCTTCATGTCGCTCGCCCGGGGCAGGCAATCCCGCCCGCTGGGCCCCCATTGGCTCGGGGCGCTCGCGATGGCCAAATCTCAAATTGTTTGTTGGTCCATCGATCAACTTATCCATCCCGGCAAATTCAGCACCCGCCTGCTACATTGTCCCATCCAGGCCAATGGCATTCATCATGCTACGGCTATGGAACTGGATATTGCAGTCGGCTCTTCTATGTCCGCATGCCTCCAGTTGTCCGCATGCGCCCATAACTTGTTGCCGCAAGTCCCACGGCGTAAATTCGCGCATGAACATCACGTCGTTAATTGCAGGGAATTGAGAATCCGTCTTATGGAGCTGCTCGTAAAGTGCAGCGTGGTTTGTCACGATACTGTTCACAATTGTTACGATTTTTGCCATGTGATTCTTGACCTCCTCCAGCTCACTGTTATGAGCGAGCCGTTGCGCTTGCACGGCCCCGACTTTGTCTGGAGCTCACACAGCATGTCATCACGCTGCTGCTTCCAAAGCGCATTGCTCCCCTGCTCGGTTTCAACCTTATTGGGTCGCTGGCCCGGCAAAGTAGGCTGTTCATAGAGGTAGGCATTGCTATTCTATTTCAGCAGCTGCGCCTTATCCCGATCCCTGGCACTCTGGGCCACAAGGGCACCGACAACAACATCGATAACTGGACGGACTATTTGTGGTTGACTGGCCAATTGGGCCATGACCCTCGTTTCTTCTGCAACGGCGCGCGTTTGCTGGTCGCCGTGCTCACGGCTGGCTTTCGCAGACTCTATGAACGCGCCGCGGAGAGCCTGGAGAGCATCTCCCCCTGCTCCTGAAGAGCTATCTGTTGTTGCCCGACTTGCCCCTGCATGGCAGCGCGCACATTCAGCAGGTCATTCGGCAGCAAAGGCGATTCGACTCGACGCTCATTTGATTCATGGTTCGCGCCGGTTCGGCGCTCATATTTTTGGTCCGCGACAGCCCGACGCCCATCATTAGGGACCGCGACAGTGCGACGCTCAATGGCATAAGCCCCAGAAGGCGGACGCGACGTGTGCCTCTCTTGCGCGCTCTGACCATATCCAAGCTGACATTGCAGCATATGCCGCAGAAGGCGGTCGCGAGGATTGTCTCTGTCGCAAGCTCTGGCCCAACGCCCGTAGCAGCAGGCTCCTCCGCCGCAACGCTCGCGGCAGCAGATCTCTCCACCGCAACGCTCGCAGCAGCAGATTCGTCCGCCGCAAAGGCCCCGCCATGCGAAACACGCTATACCCTGTACGTATGGCACATTCTCCACTAGAGTTTCAATCCGCCCCAGCCGTGGCGGCGACGGCTGACTGTTCGCATGTCATACCACGGCCGCCAGCGGCCCCATCAATCTCGACTGAAGTGTCTGAGACCATCGCCTCGAGATCCATTATCAGCGAATCCGAGATCATTCCCACGCGAGAGCGGGCCTATCGGCTAATAGCCGATGCATGGGTATGGAACAGCCTTTGGGCCAAAACCTCCCCCTTCCTCGGCAACAACCTTGCCGGGCTTGGGCCTCTGAAGGCGGCCACTATCCCGTCTGCTTCGTCGGGTTTGCGCCCTGCCGTGAGTTCACGGCCGCCACCCGACGAGGGGGAAAAGAAACGCTTGCGATACGACTCGACGGCACCGAACAAAAAGAGGCGCGCGCGCGCCCTCGTTCCTGACGCGCGAGCCACGAATTCCGCAGCCCCGCCTCCGTGCGCCCGGGCGTGAAGCAGCGGCAGCAGCAGGAGAAGAAGAGGAAAGGGTGAAACCAAGAGATCCAGGAGAAGAGGAAGAGGAGAAGAAGAGGAAGAGGAGAAGAGGGGGAAGGACCAAAGAGGAAGAGGAAGAGGAGAAGAAGCAGCAGGAGAAGAGCAGCAGGAGAAGAAGGGGAAGGACCAAAACGGAACTGGGATCCCCCGAAACCCTGACAGGGGATACCGTCGGGACTTACACATCCGCCGAAAACGACGGGCAAAGATCAGGAGGAGGGAGGATGGCCAAGGGGAGGCGGGAGGAGGGAGGAGCTGAAGGGATGAGTCCGAGCCTGCCCAGGCGGCGGCGGCGGAGTGGCGGCGGTGGCGGCGGCACGAAAACGGCGAAGGCGGCGGCGGAGAGACGGCGACGGCGGCTGCGGCGATGGCGACGGCGGCGATGGCGACGGCGGCGATGAGACGGCGCCGGTAGCGGCGGCGACGACGGCGGCGGCGACGGCCCCGTGCGTTGGCTCAAGGTTTTGAGGCTGGGGCGCTCTGCGTTCCAGGATTTCGGTGTTGAGACCAACCTGGACTGCCCTGGGTGTCGAAGGCTGCCGTTACCACATCAGGGGGGGCGCATCCCCAAGCCTTGCAGACTCCAGGCATGCCTCGGCGAATGAGACTGTGGGCGAAACCTGAGCAACCGAACAAAGGACGGACGATAGGATGCGGAAAAAGCATCAGGTCGCCGATGTATGCGGTAGAATATGCCTGATCCATGCCTCGCGAGAAGAGAACAGGGCTTGCCCGCAGGGCCCTAGACAAGAACAACGAGTGGAGACAGGGCACCTCGCAGGAGAACAGCAGGCGAGAGAGCACTAGACAGCACTAGCACAACGAGTGGCAACAAGAACATTGGTCCAGCCACGTCGCTACTACTATCGACGTCAATATCAGGCTATGAAAAACAACTCGCCAGCCCAGTGAGCCAGAGGTGTGTGATAGACATAGATGACACAGGCGCTCGTGAAGGGGGGGATCGCGTGGGGGTGTAGGAAGGGGCTGGGCTCGGTGGGCGTAGGGGGGCCAGAACGGGCCGTCGGTCGGGGTGGCATGGGGGGTGCTTATCAGGCAGCCTCAAGTGCGGAAAACACATCCCCCTATCAAGGGCACCCGATCTCTCCATCGCAAACCATTTGGAGGTATCTTACCTGCCGGTGCCGCTGCAGATGGGTGCTGCTGCCGCCGCTAGGGTGCTTCAAGGCTCATCCTGGGGTCTCGTGGAGCCTCTGGCCGCCTTGGGCCCAGCAGGTAACTTTCGGAGCTTACTGGGGTACCCTTGGGTTGCTTGGGGTCCGTTTAGGGCACGTGTGCATCATTTGGGCTGATTGGTGGACGGCACGCAAGACCGCTTGGCTTGGGTTCTGAAGGGCCGCCTGGGGCAGAAGAGCTTGGCAGAACCAGCGCGCACGGGACGGCCTCAAGACCCCCCGACACGCCCCGATGAGGCCTGTGGAAGCCCTCGATGGGCCGCGAGAGGACCCCCTAATAGGAAGGCACCAACTACACATCAATACCGATCCTAGCCAGGATCACCCTGGGCCCAGGATCGGTGTGTACGCCCTCCTGCCTTGGGCAGAATGCATATACAAGGATCCTGGGCCTAGGATCGGCCTGGCCAGGATCGGTGTAGGTGTATAGTTGGTGCCCTCCGACCCAACGCTCCTTTGAAGAGACGACGCAGTTATCCCAAGAAGCCCCCAAGAGAAAGCGCAACAACCATGCAACGCTGCGGCCACGCCACGCTGCAACGTCGCAGCGCTTCTTTCCAGGCAACCTCAAGGTTGCTCTACCAAACACGTTCGGGAGAATGGGTACTACGGTAAATCGCGCCCAAGACCCCAGAAGCGTCATGGGGGCCCGTGGAGCGCGTGGAACCGTGCTTTAACCGAGCCTCTTCGAGAGAGCTCGGTGAATCATCCTGCATACATGTCGGCGCTACCCTTGCAGCTAGCACGGTGGTGGGCGGGTTTGCAGAATGCGGCCGGGCGACAGGGGTAGCAATGGCAACTATATACCAACATGCTATACACCAACACCGATCCTGGCCATGCCCAACCCGGACTCAGGATCGGTGTACACGCATCCTGGCCTGACCAGCAGACGTATACACCGATCCTGGACCCGGCATTGGCATGGCCACCATCGTCGGCGGCGCGCCTGGGGGGGGGGAAGTGAGAAGGAGCAGGCCTTCTCAGAAGGCGGCGAAGCTTCTCAGAAGCCCGCTGGCCTTCTGTCAAGTGTTTCCCCTGCCTTCGGGGAAGGCTTGGGAAGACTTCTCAAAAGGTCTGAGGCCTTTCCGAGCCTTCTCAGGAGGCCCACCCCTTCTCCATCCCCCCTGAGCTCGCCGCCGACATCGGTGTAGGTGCACAGCTGGTGCCCCCTGACACAAGAAACAAGGATGGCAATGGCAAGCTCATGTCGGCTGCCACTCTTTCGTGCACTTCTCGCGCGCCCTCCAGAGGCATAAACAATACCTTCGAAGAAGAAGAAGAGAAACTACATAAACATCATGAACTGTCAGAGGCTCACGAGAAATTCGGGGGTTCAGCGCCGCCCCAAAAGATCCTCGCAGACCTCCAAAAAGTACGTATGCTTATGCCGTTCAGTTCTCCTCGACCCAGCTACGCGCAAGAGCGACCCTAGGAAAGAGTGGCCCTTGGTGCACTGCGGCTTCCGAGGGAGCAAAGAGGGGGAGAGGGGGCTAGCCAAGTTGCGCTAACCGCCGCCTATGGCATTACACTCAGCGATCGGAGCAGTTGAGACAACGGCGAATCTCCCATGTACATGATGGCCATATTTGCAAGGACGAGATGCCTCCAGGAGGCCCAAAAAATACCTTAAAACGCTAGGGGGTGCCGCCGTTGTCTCGATTGCGGCCCTTCTCCGAGGTGGGCACCCGCACCAAAGGTCACTCTGGCGAAAGGGCACTCCCCCCATAGATCCTGTGTAATGACTTTTTCAAGATGGTTCCCGGAAACTCCGACCATTTCCCCGGGGCCGGCTTTGCACCTTCAATCGTTTTCTGACTGTCATGGGACCTGGCGAGAGCCCGAGGGGCCAAAACTACGAAAACCTCCCATTGCATTGCGAGGGCCCTCGGAGGCCGAACACGACAAAAAACCTCTGTATCGAATTTGTCAATACGTGGGAGGTCTGGGACACCTCAGATTCGACGTTGCGACAAAATTGCAACATCGCGAAAGATCACGACCGGAACGCCGCATCGATCTGTGAGGGTCCCAGGGCCCGAAACTGGGCGAAACCTCGCAGTGTGAAAACGGAGGAGCAAATAATGGCGTCAACAGGAGCTTGCGGAGGTCCTCGCTGACTTCTTGGATCGGCGCTGGTGCCCCCCCCCGGGCGCGCGGAGCGTGCCAGGGGCGGCGCCAGAGGCGCAGCCAGGGGGCTCCAGCGCCGATCCCGGCAATCCGTGCGGATCTCCCCAGGAGGTTCTGTTTGTGCCAGCTCTCTTCTCTAGGGGGCCAGATGCGAACCCTACCCCTACCCCCCACGATTTCTGAGGGGGAGGGTGGGGTTCACTTCGCTCGGGAGCTCCCGAGCGAAGTGAACCCCACCCTCCCCCTCAGAAATCGTGGGGGGTAGGGGTAGGGTTCGCATCTGGCCCCCTATTCTCACAAAACTCGCGGCGCCCGGATCTCGGGTCTGAGGGGTTGCGCGCAGCCGATCGGCGCCTGCCGCCCCTGCGCGCGGGCGACGCCGGCGCGGCGGGCCGGGCAGCGGCGGCCTCGGCGGGCGCTCCCCGCTCGCCAGCTGCCCCGCCGCCGGGCGGCCCCGCGGCCAGGTCCGCGGCGCGCCCCCGCGCCTCGGAGGCGTGGGGCCCCTGGGCGGCCAGCTGGTCCAGGAAGCCGGTGCGGGGGCCGCGGGAGGGGTCCCCGGCCAGAGGCGAGGGGCCTCCCGGGCGGGGGTCCGCGCAGGCGAGGGGTCGGAGCAGGGCGCCCCCTCGGCGCCGCCTCGCCGATGGCGTGGCGACAACCGGGCTCCACATCGAGCCGCCGCATCGGCGAGGCATCGGCGAAGCGGCGCGATCCCCCGATCCCACCCACTTCGGCCGCCTGTGGGAGGCCTAGACGGGTGTTCCCGGCTGTTCCCTCCGTTCTGGAGCCCCTGGCCCTGGGGCCCCCTGGGCCTCGTGAGGGGTGCTCTGGAGGCCGCGGGGGACCCCTCGGAGATCCTGGAGCCACCCTGGGCCTGGAACCCCTTCGGCCACCCCCGAGCTGGTGTTCTGCAGGACCCCTGCGCGGCGGCGCGAGAGGTAGTCGATCATCTCGCGGAGGCTCAGGCCCTCCGCGCCCGGGGCCAGCCTCACGAGGTCCGGACGGCGAGGCGCGAGATCCCGTGGGCGCGGGGCATCCGCGCGCAGAGCCGCCCTGCGCCCACGGGGTCGCCGCAGAGGAGCACAGACTGCGAGGCCGTGGGTGTAGGCATGGTGAACGTTTTCTTGCTCAGCATTCTGACATTGGAAAGACGAGTGTTTAGAAACGAGCCCTCATCCATGCCCAGATGGCTGCAAGTGGACGCAGGAGCGATGGACAGGACAGCCTTTGTGCGACACGCTGCCTGGCTAGGGCGGAAGGGGGGAACCTGGCTCAGGACCTCAACCCAATGCGACTGTTGGCGACGGTGCATCCCATGGGAGAGACACCACCTGCTTGAAACAGGCGCCAACAAAAAGCCAAGATCTACTCCATTGGGGGGGAGGGGTGCGAGGGCCCGGGCCGATCGGCAAAAGAATGCATCAGAAAACGATCATGTGCTTCTCCCCCACGACGGCCCCTCGCGCATGAGGAAGACGCCGCACGCGCAGCCCGCGCGATTGAGGCCGTGCATGCAGTGCACGAGCACGGAGCGCCCGTCCTCCCGGCAGCGGCGCAGGAACACGACCAGCTCGTCGAAGTGCTCCGACATCGGGTACCCCAGGGCGTCCTCGGTAGACAGCCCGAGGTACCTCGAGGTGGGGTCGAGATGGATCGAGGGCGCGGTATGTTTTTTTTTGTTATCAGCGCTATTTTGGAGAAGGGGGAGGAAGAGGCGAGAGGGTACGGTATGTTTTTGGCCCTCTTTGGGCCTCTGGGGACCTCTGAAGGCCTCCAGGGACCTCTGGAGGTCGGTGCCCAGACGGAGATACCAGATGTCGTCGCTGTCGAGCTGCCTCCTGTAGTACTCCGTGTCGAATTGCATGTCGTCCCATCTCTTGTCCTCCTCCGCGACGTCCTCGGGGCACTCCCTGTTCAGGGCGATGCGGAGGCCCTGCTCGATCTTGCAGTCCTTCACGGCCATGTTCACAACGGCGCGGACTCTCCTCTCCCGGAGCGCCTCGAAGTTCATCGCGTCGTCGACGTCGCCGAGCCACATGGTAAACTCCTGTAGGGGCACGGACACATACAGATAATGCTACTCCCCAGGCCTCTCCCAGGGCGCGCTCTGATCAGGATCGAGAGGCGAATCCAGCCGAGGCGACGAGGGCTTCCTGGGAGGCCCCCGAAAAAACAGGAGGCGAAAGCGGGGGGATGGCATCGGGCGTCGGCACGGGCATGTCTGGCCGCACCTCCACTCAAAACCTGCCCCCAGACTCATCCAGCGGTCCATCCTGGAAAGCAATTCGAGATATGTCCAGCCGTGGCGGCGAGAGCCTCCAGCAACGGCCAGAAGCCTGAGAAGCAAAGACCTCGACGTCTACGACGTCTCGGCATCTCAAAGGGCGGGATCCTGAGGGAAGAGGGTCCGGCTCTTCATCCTGCATCGTTGTCATGGCACCGACAACCCAGGACCCGTTCCCCTCAGGACCCCCCCCTCATCCTTCTTGGGAAGGCGCCAACATGGACCAGCGACGCGTGGACTGGCGACAGGTCCCCAAGGGCTCCCAACTTCGCGCTTCGCGCTGCGCGAAGCGCGAAGCGCGAATAACTTCGCGCTCTCGCGCCGCCCTCCCAAAGGGAGAAGAGGAGGACGAGGAGGAGGGGGAGAAGGAACGAGGACCGCGAAGCGCGAAGCGCGAATAACTTCGCGCCCTCGAGGGAGCCCTTGCTTCTTGGGAAGGCGCAGACATGGACCAGCGACGCGTGGACTGGCGACGGGCCCCGCTCTTCACAGAATGGGCGCGCTCCGTCGCCGAGTCGGGCGGCACTGGCCTCACGTTCGGGGGGGAGGCTCCCCGATCCGGGGATCTGGCCCCCACGCGTTCACATCGGTATCCAAGGGCTCCCAACTTCGCGCTTCGCGCTGCGCGAAGCGCGAAGCGCGAATAACTTCGCGCTCTCGCGCCGCCCTCCCAAAGGGAGAAAAGGAGGACGAGGAGGAGGGGGAGAAGGAACGAGGACCGCGAAGCGCGAAGCGCGAATAACTTCGCGCCCTCGTGGGAGCCCTTGCTTTCGGGGGGGAGGCTCCCCGATCTGGGGATCTGGCCCCCAAGCGTTCCACATCGGTATCGGTGTGCCCTCCCCCGTCTGATCCTCGCCGTCGCCGAGGACGGCCGTGGCCGCCCAGCCGGGCCCATCGCGCTCGGCCGGATAGCCCGCCTCTATGAGGGCCATGCCGTTGACCTCTATCAGCTCCAGGAGCTCCTCGCACGCCTGTCGCGCCGCCAAGATGGAGAGTGTTGGGATGCATGTCTTTCGCCCCGTCTGGGCCTCGGGGAGGCTCCCCGTCGCCACCAGCGGATTATCCTCGAGAGTGCAGCCGTCGTGTTAGCACAGGCGACGCCAAAACAGTCGAACCTCGGCCTCGAACAGGCCCCCCGACCTAGATACTCAAGGAACAAACGAACAGAACCCCTTCTCCGGATGGGGGATCGACTACAGAATCCCACCAACCCTCTGGGCGTAGGTGGTTTAGGGAGTTTCCTCGGGGAGGGGTTTATCACTGCTCCCTTTTAATATACACCCCCTCCCCCAGGCGACTGGGACTCAACCCAAGTCCATGAGGGTCCCCCCCACCATCCCTTGCAAATAACAATACAAAGCACACTCTGCCCCCACCATCCTTTGCAACAAACAATACAAAAGACACTCTGTCTCCAAATTCGGAGCATGCGCAGCGAACCCGATGCGGCCTCCCTCCACCGTCACTGTCAAAAAACAGAATACACTTGGCGGCGGCGGCGGCGGCGGCGGCGGGGGCAGCGGCGGCGGCGGCTGCGGCGGTGGCGGCGGCGGCGGTGGCGGCGGCGGCGACTGCGGCGGCAGCGGGGGCGGCGGCGGCGGCGGCGGCGGCGGGCGCGGCGGGCAGCGCGGCGGCGGCGGCAGCGGCGGACAGCGGCGGCGGCGGCGGCGCGGTGCTGGCGGCGGCGGCGGCGGGCGGCGGCGGCGGCGGCGGCGGCGGCGACGGCGGATTGGCCCCCAGTAGCTGGCCATCCAAAGACGACTGCTGCATATGCTGCGGTTCGGGCCAGGCCCGGGTGCTACGTATGTGTTGGGAGGGGGGGTGGGAGTGAGCGCGACGGCTTGCGGGAGGGGAGGGCGTCTTGACCCCTCCCCCATTACCCCCTCCCCTGGACCTCGACGGGGGGTTCCGCGACGCGTTGGAGCGTCCAAAACGGCCTCGGCGAGGAAGCCAGAATCATTGGTTATACAAAGGTTTTGGCCCCATGTTGGCTTCCTGGGGGGAGGGAGGGGCTAATTTAGCCCCCCCCTCCTGTGATCGATCTCCTCCCCAAAAGGCGCCCAGGAGGCCCCAAGAGGGCCCCGAAATGGCCACATGATGGCCCCATGTTGCCCCAAAAAGCCCCCAAGAGGCCCCCAGGATGCCCCCAAGAGGCTCCCAAGAGACCCCCAAGAGGCCCCAAGAGGCCACCCAGAGGCACCCAAGACGTTCCAAGAGGCGAGATTGCCAAAATCATTGATTCTACAACGGTTTCGACCACGTTTGGGCCTCCTGGGAAGGGAGGGGGGGTACTGCTTCACATGACTCCAAAGGGCCTGGGAGAGCCCAAGATTGACCTCCAAGATGGCTCAAGATATTCCAAGATGCCTCAAAATGGTTCCCACGATGCTCCAAGAGGCCCCAAGACCGCTTCAAGACGGCTCCAAGTGGCCAAAGAGCTCCCCCGGGAGGCCCCGATGAGACCAAAATCCGTCCAAAACCTAAGGCAAATCAAAGTGGCGGGCTTTCTCGCCTGTTGGCTTCCGATGGCCATCCGAGGCTTCACGATGACTCCAAGATGGCCCAAGAGGGATCCAAGAGCGCTCCCAAGGCTCCCAAGAGCGCTTCAAAAGCGCCCCAAGAGGCGCCCAGGAGCGCCCCAGAGGCCTCCAAGAGGCCCCCAAGAGACCCCCAAGAAACCCCAAGAAGCTCTCCGAGGCACCCAAGACGCTGTAAGACTGTAAGAGGCGTCCAGGACCGCCAAGAGGCCCCTAAGACGCTCCAAGAGGCCTCCACTGGGGGACCCGTCCTCTGTGTGTTGCCCACTTCCCTGATCGAGGCACTTCCTCTGGGCATCGTTTCTGGATGGGCTGGCGGGGTTATGTTTTAGTCAGCGGCCGCGGGCGAGCGCGCCAGCGGCGAGTCCAGTCAAAGCGGGGCACGCAACGACAAGTTCACCTAAAGCAACGGAGGGCGGCCTCACCTAAAGCGGCTAAGCGGGGCCTCGCGCAACACCTCAGCGGCGGACCGGCGAGTGGAGGGGGCAGATCACTCAGAGTCGTACTGCCAGCGCGCAGGTATGCATGGCGTCGGAAGCATCAGGCAGGCGGGAAGAACGACAACCAAGGACAGAAGCCGAGTGATTAATGCAAGGGCGCGAACCCCGGACAACTGCGAGAGTATCAGGGTGGCCGCAGCCGGGAGGACCGACAGTCGAAGGTCGAATTGATGCCATGGTGGGCGTGAGCGTTGGCAGGCTGCGAGAACCCACGGTGGCCGAAGCCGCAAAGTCCCACGGCAGCAGAACGCACGAGCACGGGAAGCAGCAAAGCAGCCGCGCGGCCAAAATGGCGCGGGTCACCACGGACAAGTGCATGAAAAGGCGCCAGGATAGGCGCACACCACGAGCCCTGAAGAGGGTCACGGGCCCGGAGTCAGCACACCGAAGGTGGCGACAGGCGAGCAACGGCACCACGGGGAAGACCCGGAACTGAAACCAGGGTTGCGGCCGCAACGTGGCAGAAGCACGGAAGTCTGAGCTGTGTCACAAACGGCCGTCGGCCCCGTGGAGGGGAAGAGAAACCGCGACTTGGGCGGAAAAGCGGGAAGCCCGTACGGTGGGGGACGACACCACCGACCGACGGGGAGAGCGGGGGCCAAGCCGAGGGGGGGGGACACCCCGACCCGGCAGGCCGCCCGGTAGCGCGGGGAAGGGACGCGCCAGGGGTCAGGTGGACCACGGCTCCAGCGGTAGCCCACGAGTCAGTGTTGTCAGCGGTCCGCTGTCCCTGTCCCGAGGGCCGGGAGCAACGGGGGCTGGGCAGGGAGAGGCACCAGGGAAGGAGCACTGCCTGCAAGCCAAGCGGCGGCCACAGCAGGGACTGCAGCAGGCGCGTCTAGGGTGAAACAAAGGGAGGGGGACAGTGGACCACGGCCCCGGCGGAGACCCACGAGCCAGTATTGCCATCAGTCCGCTGTCCCTGTCCCGAGGGCAAGGAGCAACGGGGGCTGGGCAGGGAGAGGCACCAGGGAAGGAGCACTGCCTGCAAGCCAAGCGGCGGCCACAGCAGGGACTGCAGCAGGCGCGTCTAGGGTGAAACAAAGGGGGGGGGACAGTGGACCACGGCCCCGGCGGAGACCCACGAGTCAGTATTGTCAGCAGTCCGCTGTCCCTGTCCCGAGGGCCGGCAGCAACGGGGGCTGGGCAGGGAGAGGCACCAGGGAAGGAGCACTGCCTGCAAGCCAAGCGGCGGCCACAGCAGGGACTGCAGCAGGCGCGTCTAGGGTGAAACAAAGGGGGGGGGACAGTGGACCACGGCCCCGGCGGAGACCCACGAGCCAGTATTGCCAGCAGTCCGCTGTCCCTGTCCCGAGGGCCCGGAGCAACGGGGGCTGGGCAGGGAGTGGCACCAGGGAAGGAGCACTGCCTGTAAATTGCCCCCCCCCCCCCCCCCCCCGAGCCCGTCCTCCCCCCTTCATTCCCCGTCCAGTAGGAAGAGGAGGAGGAGGTGGAGGAGGAGGTGGAGGAGGAGAAGGAGGATGATGAGGGGGAGGAGGAGGAGGAGGAGGAGGAGGAGGAGGAGGAGGAGGAGGAGGAGGAGGAGGAGGAGGAGGAGGAGGAGGAGGAGGAGGAGGAGGAGGGAGGAGGAGAGGAGGAGGAGGAGGAGGAGGAGGAGGAGGAGGAGGAGGAGGAGGAGGAGGAGAGGGGGGTCCACCGCGGGTGCTGCGGGAGCCACGTCCAGGGCGATACGAGCGGGGGCCGCCGTCGGCGGTCCCCGCCCAAGCCCCTGAACATACGCAGGTCGGAGGTCCAAACCCTAGGGCTCCCAGCTTCGCGCTTCGCGCTGCGCGAAGCGCGAAGCGCGAATAACTTCGCGCCCTCGCGCCGCCCCCCCAAAGGGAGAACAGGAGGACGAGGAGGAGGGGGAGAAGGAGCGAGGACCGCGAAGCGCGAAGCGCGAATAACTTCGCGCCCTCGAGGGAGCCCTTGGAACATACACAGGTCGGAGGTCCAAACCAGGGGTGGCAAGCGACCACTGCACGCTGCATGAACGAGGCACCGAAACCTTTTCTGGCCGAACGGGCCCCACGTTAGGCGACAGCGATAACATCGAACCGCGTTCCTGCTTGGCCTCACGTGCCCTATTTTAGCTGAAGAGGCAAAGGCACAGCCACGGCGAGCCCGGCAGGCCTGAGGTCTGCACATCTGGAGAGGATAGCTGCGGCCGGCTGCCCTCTGGGGCGTCAGGTCGGCGTCGCGTCTAGAATTGATTTACTCCAACATGGATGTTCCCCGCCGAATATACAAGAAACGCGTACATGTGTTGTAGATCTACGGGACATGGAACGCATCGTGTCGTAGATTCGGCGGGAACGTTTTGTGTCGTAAAATCAATTAGTCGATCCCCTACTCGACTCAGGAGTCCGAAGTGGTCCTTATTTCGGCGTGTTGACTGCATGGTCCTAGCCCCGCGTCCTGGCGCCGATCTTGACCCTGCAGCCCAGACCTTCTTACGTCGCTGACAAAAGAAGCCGTGGGAGATGCTTCGCGAATCTGTGGTTCCTCGGGGGCCTCACTGGGCCCCAGAGCCGCCGAGAAACTCGAGATGGGAACGGGGTCCCTGAGGGAAGGGGTCTGGACATCCGGGCAGCCACGCTATGACGAAATCAGGACGTCGGAGGCCTGGGTCCAACAGCTGCTGGAAGCCTGCTCTGGAGCCCTGGGGAACAGCGGGTGTGGATGTCTGTCTGCCCCGCAGGGGGGGGGGGGGGGGGCGGATCTTCACCACCGCCCCGCGAGAGGCCCTCGAGTTCCACGGGGCAGCACTCCGAGGCGGTGGACATGGATGTACGGCAGGTCCGCGTCGTGACAACATCCAGGTCGATGTGTGACACCGCGTGGACCATTCAGCCTTGAGCGATCGCGGCTTCCCGCAAGCGAAGATCGTTAGATGTCGGCAGATTCAGGGTCACCGGCTTCGTTCGAACACCCGCGCTGGAGTCGCCGCCGCGTCGACACGGCGCGAACATGCCGCATTTTGTCGGTGGACCTTGCTCGCGAAAGAGCTCTGCTGGAGGAGCGTCATCGGGTTCCGCTCGCGCTCGGCCTCCTGGTCCTTGGGGTCCAGGGCCCGGCTGTGCACCCCGGGGAGCGACAGCATGCTTCCGGAGAGGAGGAGGAGGAGGAGGAGGAGGAGGAGGAGGAGGAGAAAGGAAGAGGAGGAGAAGGAGGGGGAGGAGGAGCAGGAGGAGGAGGAGAAGGAGAAAGGAGAAAGAGGAGGAGATAGGAGGAGGATGGGGAGGAGGAGGAGGAGGAGAAGGAGGAGGAGGAGGAGGAGAAGGAGGAGGAGGAGGGAGGAGGAGGAGGAGGGAGGAGGAGGAGGGAGGAGGAGAAGGGAGGAAGGAGGGAGGAGGAGAAGGAGGAGGAGGAGGAGGAGAGTTCTGTAAACATCAACGCGAATGCAGCCCACATGCACCCCCAAAGGCGGGCGAGCGCTCTGGGGGTTACTCTGACTTCCACGTCTGCACAATGAAAAACAAGCCAAGAGAAGCCAAGCCAGGCTCTCACGCAGCTCATTGAGACGAGGGCGACCACGGCACGGGCACAGCAGCGAGCACCCTCCCCCAGACCAGCTGGTGGGCGCGAAAGACAACAAACTGTTCGGGAGACCGTGGCGAGGACACCAGCTGCCGCCTAGGGGCGACGGGGGCCCGGCGAGCGCCGCTATGAACTCAGCGACTCGCACGAAGCCAGGCCGCTCGTACGCGCGTATCGACCTTCGGCCCCGGACGCCCCTCGGCTGCTCACGCCGCTGGCACAGCTGCAAGGCGCGGGCCGCGGTGGAAGCCAACAGAATGCAAGCGGCGTGGGCGACGGGCAAACCTGGCGGCAGGCTGCCGCGCCAGACTGGAGCAGACGAGGTCCTGCCGTCGGCCACGCAGCGGCGCGCCGAGGGCATAGCAGGGCGCTGCACGAGACCCACTACAAAGACCCACAGCAGGGTGGCCCCTCACAGGCACACCTGGCCAAAGGGGCCAGGCTGCACCTAGACAGGGGCCGCGACAGATCAGCGACACAAGCTCGAGAAAAAACGGCGGGAGGACGCGCGGCTCATCCCAACCCGCGACGCCTTCCCGCCTTCCAAAGGCGCCCAGAGACAGAGAGGATTCGGACAAGCCAGCAACCCAGAATCCGAAGAAAGAGGCGCGGCCTGCATCGTGGCCTCCTCACCACAAGCTTGGACAGAGTCCTGCGCGGCCAGTCCACCAGTCAACAAACGCTGGAAATACTGCCCGTGGACCAACACTACGAGCAGCACGAGGAAAGCCGCAGAAGAGCCAACAGAACCTGAGCCAGCCACGAGGCCGTCAGCGGACCGACCTGACCGTGAACACCGCCGAGCTGTCTCTACAGCTGTCAGTTCCCCCGAAGGGGCCTGGCATCAGCCAAGCCCGCAGCCGGACCCGCCTGACCATGCGCGCCGCCAGACGGCCACGCCAGCAAGGCACTGCGCGCTAGGACGCCTGTCACAAGGCCATAGAATTTGTCGAAGCTATAGACCCCGCCCCAGTATCCTTGGCGCCTTAGCCAAGACAGGCGGGCGCTGCTCCAGATAAACGCACCACACCACCTCGAGCACAGGTAGCAATCAACCACAGCCGAACAGGAAAGAACAGACAACTCCGCCGCAGATTGTCGGCAGAGCCCAGGTTCGCGCGCAAAGGCCCCGTGGGCTCCAGAGCACCTGCCAAAAGGGGGTTCGGCGGATGAGCGGGAGACTTGAAAAAAACACGGAGCAACTCCAGAACCCGCTGAAGCGGAGATGGGGAGTCGGCGGGGGCCTGACTACCGCAAACACTGGGGCCCGTGCTGACCTCGCTATCTGACAGGCCCCAGCAAGGTCACTTGGGCAGGGGCTCGGCGGCGAAACGGCACGCCCACTTAACCCCAGCAGTCCAGTGGGCAACCCCCTCCTCATCCGCAGGCGCTGGGCGAGTGACGCGATGCTCCAGCCTTGGCGGCCGCGTCGGCATGAACGTTCCCATGCCGCCTGACTCGTTCATACTCTGGGAGCCCCTCCACCCAGGGGCCCAAGTGATCCCCCACCACGCATGCGCTCCGAAGGAGGGGGAACTCGTTGACATACTGGAAAAACTGAGTACGCACGCTTGAACGACAGCCTCTCCGAAGCCAGAAGATCACGGCGCATCACAACAGCTGCGCAGTCCGGAAAACCCCCCGACCCCCCACAAGCCTGCGAACTGGCCGAAGACTCCGCTGCTGACGGGCTCCGCGGAAGCGGAGAACGCACTGGGCCGTTGATCGCGGACAAGAGGGCGCCGTCGTCTTCGACGCGACACAGCCCGCAGCCCGCTCGGCCCAGGTCGGTAAATGGATGCTTGAAACGCGACGCGCCGAAGAAAAAAACAACAAACAAACAAACGAAAACACTCTCCACCTCACCGACCTCACCTCGCGGGTACCCACCCGGTTAAATAGTTCCACCTCCGACCGCGAGCGGCCGCGGCCAAACAGCCTCAGGGTGATCGAACTCCCCGCGACAGAAAAGTAGGTGACCCCCACCAGATAGATCCGACAAAACCTCGGCGCGGATCGAGGCCGTGACAAGAGCCGCCCTTTCATCAGCACATGCGGCGCACGCCCATAATTCATTATGTACGGCACCCCTGGCACCCCCACGTGAAAGACAGATGCCACGGCCACCGGGAAGCTGATATCCCAGCGCAGCGGCACGATCAGGAGTCCACATCCGTCGCAACAAAGATTGCGAATGGCCCCCTGCTGATAGGGCGTAGACTTCCCGCTCGTAGCCTGGCCCTGCTAAGGCCCAGTAAAGCGACCGGCGCGCTGACCCCCCCCCCTTCGCGACAGGAGGTGCGTCGCGCAGTCGTCGCCCGTGCGCCGCCCGCGCGTCGGCCGCCGAAAAGGCCAGCCGTCCTCTCGAACGTGCACGTCGCCCTCGCAACGGGGCAATTTGGTGAGTGCGTCGCCAGCGCGGCGGACACCCGCGGGGCGGATCGCACGCACGTCGCCCTCTCCACGGCCGCTGAGAAGGCCGGTCGCCTTCGGGAAAAAGAAAATCGCCCACGCTGCGGCCCTCTCGGCGATAAGAAGGCGGCCGCTGGGCTACCTCGGCAGATCAGCAAATCCCTCTAACATTACAAATGCAGCGATGCTGCTGAACGCATCCCGGCGATGGGCCAGCAGGTCCCCGCAGCCGCCGCCACCGCCGCCGCAACCGCCGCCAGCGCCAAAACTACCGCTGCCACGTTCACCACAAACGGATGCGACCGCAACCACATCCACCGCGACGATTACGACCAACACCATTTACCGCCAGCACCACCACCACGACCACCGCGCTTCTCGCGACCACCACAACGACCGACACCAGCACGATCACCGACGTGACCACCGCCAGCCCGCCCACCACCAGCGGCGCGACCGCCGCCAGCGCGACCAAGGCCACGAACGTGACCACGACCATGATCACCAACATGACCAATACAGAAGCACCCGCCCACTCCGCCCCCCCCCCATTCCCCTGCCGGGCCGCCCTTGCCGCCGCGCCCGCCTCGTGCCACTGCCCCTCCCCCCCCTTTTCTCCTCGTAATCTTCCTCTTCCACCGCCAGCGGCGGGGCCGTTCGCGGAAAGCGGGGGCGCCGCTCGCGGCGACGCGCCGCGGCCGTGGAAGGGGGGCCGAAGCAGGAAAAGAAAATGAAGAGGGACACGGGATGGCAAGGAAAAAAAAAAACGAGAGAGGAGGGGGGAGGGACAGACAGAGGGAGGCCAGTAGAAAGGAGGAGGAGAAGGGGAGGAGAGAGGGAGACGAGGCAGGAGAGAGGACGAAGGAGGAGGAATGACAAAGGAGGAGGGACGACGAGGAAAGAAAAAGGGAAATCACAGGGGCAATCACCGCCCTTCCTGGCGCAATGGAGGACGCAGCCGCCGCCGCTCGTGAACAGCGCAAGCACGGCGGGCCGACGGCCGTTGCGCATTGCTGCTCGGAGAAACGCTAGAGGCGGGAAAAGTCGCGACTGCGTCGCGCATGCGTCGCGCGGGTCGATCGTGCGTCGCGCGCTGGCAGGGGTGCGTCGCGCGCGGGTCGGGGCGCGTCGCGCGCGCGTCGCGCGCGCGTCGCGCGTGCGTCGCGCGGGCGTCGCTCGGGTCGTTCGCGCGTCGCGCGCAGGTCGCGCGCGAATCGCTCGAAGGGCGCCGCGGACTCCTGACGGCATGTGAACTGCACGGCCCGCTGGCGAAACAATCAAGGGACGCGCGCGGCAATCGTAAAAATAGCGAGACACGCACGTGAGAACTACGAACGCGAGGAGACCAATAGACATGGAGATGCAGCGCGTGCGCGCTAATCCATTTCAAGCGCACGCCCCGTCAGATTTTGGACATCGGTCCGTCGCTGCAGCAATTTGGCGACGACTTGCCCGCCGACGCGTTGGGGGGGGAAGAGGATGGAAGTGAGGCGAGGGATGGGCGGGCGGAAATGGGAACGGACGGGCGAGGAGGGGGCGCGCGGGGGCGGCGCAGCGGCGGCGGGAGCGATGGAAGGCGATCGAAGGGGGGCGGCGGGAGCGAGGAGGGCGAGAAGAAGTTCCAGGAGGGTGGAAGGACAACGAGGGTTGAGCAGGGAGGCGGACAGGACGGCAGCCTGACACAAAAGAACTGACTACAAATTTCGCACACGGGTCAAAACGCGCAGCGCGTTGGACGAGGGGAAGAGGAAGGAAGAGGGGGGGGGGCAGGAGGATTGGCGCTAAACGACATGGGGGTGCGGGGCGCGATGCGACGGGGCGAAGTGGCGCCGCGTCGCGCGACGTGACGTCACCCCTGCCGTGGCGCGACACGCACAGCCCCCAATCAACGCGAGGCGTCTTCGTCCTCAGCATCGGGTGGCGCCCCCGAAAATGAGCACCAGCAGATCCTCTTGCGCCGAATTGGAAACAGAACGTGTTGGTGGACCGTCGAACTAGAGCGCGCTGCGACCGCCAAAATGGCTGCTGGTGCACCGGCGTCGGAAACCTATATATCGCCAGAAATTCCGAAGTCGCGCCATATGTCGCCCGCACGCTCTGGGAGGCCGGGATTCGAGACAGAGACGCAAACCAGGGCCGGCGCACAAGCGACGCTCGGGCGACGCACTGAACGAAACTTAAAGG